AGAGTCTTCAGCACGTTGGTCTTCAGAACTGTTGGTTTTAAGAGTCTTCAGAACTTGTTCATTAGAACCTTGTATTCAGAGTTTTCAAAAATTTGGAGCAAGAGATCCTAGAATATTCAGAGCTTGAGAATCCTTCAGAAGCTCTGTCATCAGAGTCACATACATAAGTTTTAGAAGTTAACGTTCCTCAAAACCGTTACTTTAGAAGCATTATGATCCTTGTAACACACATTTGTATCACTTAGTGTGTTGAGTCCAGAGTCTGATGACACGACACACTAAATGTCATATGCGTAACCAAATCTTGTTCTTACATTATCTACTGAGCGTTAGTTGAGATAGGCAATATGATGTTGGTTTTCAAATCGATGCGGAGTATGTCGGCTTTACCGGGAGCGACTGTGGAAGAAAAAGAGTGAATGGATCATAGCATCTTCGCTTAGAGAATATTAAGAGATAAGTATATTTAGTTATATCTTGTTTCCCTTTCTTTCTTCAATTTATAAATCAATAACTATTCAAGATTTGTCTGGCTTTCCTTCATGTAGCAGAAAAGGAACCTTAACAACACAGACACCTTGTTTCTTTTATGCCGGTTACTACGCATAATAGGTGTTCGATTAAATGTCCTTGGCGCAACTAATATACACTACGCTCATGGAAGCATTAGGATTGGGGTGCACATGAAGAATGTATCCTATCTCCAATATGTTGAATAAACATTAAATGTGTTAGTAATATACTTTGCATTTAATTATGGTAGTAGGAAGGACAATAGTTTAGCAAGTTATGATAGTTATTAGTAGCAGTTATGTTTATGTTTATGGTTTTAGAATTGTAAAAGTTTATTTGGGTCTATAAAAGACCAAGTGTGTAATTTATTCAACTAGAGCAATATACAAGAGTTTATACAGAATTCTGTTTAGTATCCAACACAATAACCTCAAACTTATAATCTGTAGGTGTCGACAGGCAGGGTTGGTCGACGAGGAATGAAGCATGGGAGTTATGCAAATTGTCTTGATAGAAAAGTTGCTAGATTAATGCGCGATCGAGGAAAATATATTGTGCCTTCCAGGAAGCTCCAACTAGAGGTACTAGGGAGAATCAAGTAATTTCGGCCAGCCATCAATGTAGCAGCCATATTTTTAGCTATGAGGATAACTCCATTCCTGATCGATGTATAAATATAATTTCAAGCCGACTAAGTCGGCGCCGACAACAAAAGCTAAGTTTATCATCCTTCTCTATCATAAGTTTCAGATGCTTGATTAAATGCCTGATTAAAAGAATGTGCATGATATTGAAAAATTGTCGACTTGATGTTTGAAGACTGTCATGGAAGTATCGATGCATTGCTGTATAAATTTGAATGCAGTGCGTGATTGTTTTGTGCCCTTTGCATGATCGATGAAAAGTTGTCCGATTTCGAAGAAGATAGAGAATTAGTTAGTCATATGGCTCGGTAAAAATAAAATAAGTATTCATGCTTATATCTCTTAATTTGTCTCAAAGTTTTGTTGTCATATTAACATATTTGTATATCACAGTATGCCTTACTCACAGCCCCTTGGGCTCCCATTAATAATTTTTGCTTATAAAAAAAAGTAACCGTGAGTAATGTTATTCCTACTCCCAAATTTTACATTAATATTTACACCCAATACTATTCATCATATTTATACGGTAAATAATATTTTTAAATAAAAAATATTTATGAACAATAATATGTACAGTCAATTATTATATATTACAAAAACGTGATTTAATGATATTCAAATAGACACAATCTTATTTGACTTATAAGAAAAGCCACACATTTACGTCTAATGAAATATTTTTTTATTAACTTGTGAGCCAACCCTCAAATATATTTGGCGCGCTAATTATACGTACGAAGTTGATCACACGATGTGTTTACAAAAGTTGAGCAGAATCATAATTATAAAAGATGAGTCGGGTAGATTACACATAAGGTTAAAAGTCAACAAGTTGCCCATAAGATGACAAAAATAATCAAACTTCGTCGTGCAATAATAATCTTAAAAATGAATATTTATTAAGCGAGGTCGTCGACAATAACAGGAAGTTGGATATGTGTAAATTTATATATTTTAAGTAATTATTATTGGATAAGGTGAATGAGGATCTTTGCCGCTTGTAAATAATTCTTTAAAAATTCATTTTAAGATAAAAAGGCGTCGCTCATTTCCCCTGTGTGAGGATGAAAAGTTTTTTTTAAAGAAGGCATTACCTTATCTTTCAAAAATTGTAGGAGATGGGCAAGATGATTCACCAGATGTCAGAAGAGCCTCTATCTTGCTAATGATGTGGGAATCTTAGTAAGGGAGGGTTATCGAAAGAATCTGATACAAAGATTGACACCATATTAAAATTACTACTAACTAATCAAATTTTGTTAGTTGTCTATCAGTTTTTGCAGGAAAGGAGCTATGATCATGCCTAGATAGAACAAGCAAGCCAATTCGGAATCATAAAGCTTTGGCTGGAGACTTTACCGGATTTGGGTTTACTCTCAGCCGGCTGCACTCCCCGACTCTTGAGTTGAGTTGACACTCCTCCTTCTGAGTCGATTATTTTATCAGATCTGGACTAAGTCCCAACCGAATGCACTCTCCGACCCTCGAGTTGAGTTGACACTCCTCCTTCTGAGTCGAGTACTTTGTCGAATCTAGGTTAAATCCCAGCCAACTACACTCTATGGCTCCCGGGTTGAGTTGACACTCCTCGACTTCTGAGTTGCGTACTTTATCGAATATGGGTTAAGTCTCAGTCCGCTGTACTCCCCGGCCTCCGAATTGAGTTGACACTCCTCTATCCCTAATTTGAGTAAACTTATCGCTCAAATTGAGTAACTTCTCACACGAATTAAGTAAACTCTTTACCAAAACAACCTGAATAGAAATAACTCAGACATCACGAAGAATAAAATTCTCGAAGTAATCTGGTTGAGATAGCTCTTAAAGCACTCCACCCAATTACATAAGCCTCACGCTTGGGAGGTCACGCAGGCATCTCGATTAGGGACATAACATGTTAGATATTTGGGTATGATAATCCTGGATAACTTCGAAGAATCGTGTTCGTACACTTTCCGAACAAAGTATTTCGACCCTATTCTTGCCTGGGTTCACGAAATCTTTGTGGGGATAATTCTTGAAGAACAATCTGTTTCTGGCAAAAGAAACTGATTACAAATGTAGAGAGAAAGTGTCGTTTTGCGTATTTGAAACAGAAGCCAAATGACTCCTTATATAGGAGATCAATAACTGAAACCGAAAAGACACACCTTGGACCCCAACGGGGCGCTGCCCCGCACCCCGCCAGGGGCTTCGCCCCTTGGAACCCCAACGGCTTCGCCCCTTGGAACCCCGTTTCAATTAATTATATTCAATTATACATTGGCTCGACGAGCGTGCACTCCGCACTTCCCTAACTCGTTTCCAAGCTTAACGCATAATTGCATCGGCCTTTAGTAAATCACATTACTACTAAAATACATTGGTGATACTAAAATCACCAACATAACACCTTGCAAAATTTTACTCACTAGATGGAAAAATAGAAATGCATATAGAAACATAATATATAAAAGCCTCAAAAGAGGCTCAAAACACTGTGCGGAGCTGCAAGGGGCTTAATTTTGACACACATCATGATGCCTAGTCTCAATTTTTTAGCATTTTCTCAACCGCTTGCTACACGATCTTAGTCCTATTTTGCACGATTTCTACACGTTTTAACTTTCAGAGTTCGAGTTTGCTTATAAATACCATTGTAATGAATTGTAATAGGTATCAAAGCTTAACTTTAGTTATATAATTATTAGATTAGAGCATAAAGATTCCACATTGGCGTGTTTATGCAAATTTATTTTCTGCACACTTTAGCACTTACTTTGTAGCTATTTTATTTATGCACCGTTGTTTGTTATTTTATGCACTGTTGTTAAATTCTATTATTATATCGGATCAAAAGTCTCCCTTCAGAACAATTATTTTATGAAAGATTCAACCTTTAATTAAATTCTAGGTTCTTTATTCTGTTGTATTTTTTATTATGTCTTCACAAAAAAATATTATTATTGTTTATCCGATATGTCTGAGTAGTTTAGTTGAGTCGGAAACGTGAAGATTGTCACGTCAATATAATTCGTATGAATTACATGCTTATTAAATTGTAATAAGAATGAATTTTATGTTCTGAAAATTCTGTTTTTAATTCAAAATTTTACTACTGAAGTAAAAACCTTAAAATACCGTTTATACATTGAAAAGGCGAAAGTATAATGGATTTAGAAAATTCAGATTTTTAATATTGGGAAAGCATTTTTTAAATTAATTAAGTAATTTACTGAATTTAAAGAATGAATTTTAAATTTGTAGTTATGCACTACGAAAGTAGGCAATCACAGGTTTAAAATATAGACGTAAATTTGTAATCTATCACTAACTTAGATGTTAAATCTTACATGTCTCTTTCTGATTAGCCACACCCGAAACCTGCTCTACTGTACTACCAAGAGTCCATTTCACATATTAATCAATTCCATAACATAACAATAATTAAAGTAATGGGGACATATATGTATTTTGAAGTATATGACTTGATAATATGGTCTTGAACTATATGTTATTTTATAAGGCACAATAGAATATAGTTATAGTCGTGTTGATTTTAGACGTTACACGTTCTGAATGCAGGACCAAGTGGTTAGCAAGTGAAGGTTACATGGAAACAACGTGGAAGCAAGAAAAGCTAAGAAAAGAAGCAAATTATTCTTCAACATATAGAGGATAATGCAAGTGAAGGTTACATGGAAACAAAGTGGAAGCCAAGAAAAGCTAAGAAAAGAAGCAAATTATTCTTCAACATATAGAGGATAATCCATCCCTTTATATACCAAATATGCATACCCATTATCAACCAATTAGTTTGCATTAATATTCACATATTATTTACGAGCCTTTCTTAATAAGATGTCAGTTAGACAACGCCGATCCGACAAGCAATCTGCAGAAGCAGAAAACAACAGTGTTAATGGTGCTGATGCTGCATTGGCAGCAGCACTGCCTTCCTTATCGAGACGTGCACTGTCTGGAACACTAAAAGGGGCAGCCAACTTGGCCAACATGTTTCCGTCTGGAACCCTCTTGGTATTTCAGATTCTGATTAAGGTTTTCACAAACTACGGAGTTTGTAACTCCGTTACACGCCTCACCACACTTGTACTCCTCTTCTTGTTTGCACTCTATTGCTTCCTTGCATGTTTCACCGATACCGTCAAGGCATCAGACGGAAAAATCTACCATGGCATAGCAACCTTCAAGGGTCTGTGGCTATTTGACTACTCACCGGTTGTTGACACATCAAAGACAACATTACCCGATTTGACAAAGTATAAGCTTAGTATGATCGACTTTGTTCATGCATTTTTGTCTCTGCATGTCTTCTTTGCAGTTGCATTGAGAAACGATAATGTGTTGACATGTTATTACCCGAAACCAGGACATGAGACAAAGGAGGTTCTGGATATTGTTCCTTTTGGAATTGGATTTATATGCAGTTTGTTATTTCTTGTTTTTCCTACAACCAGACGTGGGATTGGCTACCCTCTTACACCTTAACCCTAATAGATTGCTACTATATTTTTCTTTGAATTTGCAATATTCTACTTCTTGTTACTTCTCCATGGGCTGGCAGAATATTCCTATGTCTTGTTGTTATCCTTGTTGTCTATTGAATATAATAAATTTCTATTGGATTGAAATTTTAAAATATTATTTAATAAATAAAAAGTTTTGAATTTTAAAACAAAAGGCAATCTTAATTTATTATTTTATAAAATTATCCTTAATTTTCAAAGGAATGAAATCAAAAAGTTGAGAGATTATATTAGTCACCTCAGGAAGATTGTCTAACAAAAATAATAATAATAATATTAAAAGTTTAAAATTATATATATATATATATATATATATATATATATATATATATATATATATATATATATATATATATATATATATATATATATATATATATATATATATATATATATATATATATATATATATACTACAAAAAAGAAGCTTATTTGCCACGTGAAAATCACGTGGCAAAACAAAATTAGCGACGTGGTGACTTATGTCGCTGGAGAGTCAGTGGCAAGCAAGTAGCGACGTGATTCCCACGTCACAAAGTTGTGACGTGGTATTAAAATATAATAGCAGCTTTATTAGCGACGTGAGAATCATGTCACTAATTTGTGACATGATTTCCACGTCGCTACAGGGGACGTTTTTATTTTTTAAAAAATTGTTTAATAATTATTTTTTATATTAATTAATTAATGTAATAAAATTTAAATAATAAAATTTATATAATAAAATTTAAATAATAAAATTTATATAATAAAATTTATATATTAAAATTTATATAATAAAATTTATATAATAAAATTTATATATTAAAATTATTAGAATAATAGTATTTTATTTTATATTTCGAATAATAGAATTTTATAAAATAAATTCATATAATTAAATGTTATATAATTTAATAATTTAAAATGATAAAAATAAATATCTTACATAAATGCAAATATAAAAACGAAATAAAAAAAATGTTTTCACGGGGCATCTTCACCCGGATAATTATCAAGATCAAAGTCATCAAGTCCGTCATCATCCGACTGTGTATGATCAGGAACATTTTGATTTCGACCGCCTTGCATAAACTGTCTCATCTGCTCCTCCATATCAGATTGCCGCTTCCGCATGATCTCTAACTGACGCTCCTGCTCTTGCCTCATTGTCGTCATTTGGGCCTCCATTTCGCGTCTCACTTCACTGGCCGCCAATTGTCGTACTGTTTCAAGTTGAACCTGTGTCAGATTGGGTTGACGTGACCCCCCTTCTCCATCTCTAAGTCTTTGAAACAGATTACAATCACCAACTCTCAAGCCGGCGGCCAAATTTCCTCCCGCAAAAAAGCAACCATTAGGCCCTTTTCCATTAACAACCTCATTCCAAATATAGAAATCAACATCCCCATTAAGCGGCTCCCCTTCTGCTGGCCTATATTGCGGATTGTGTTCCAGAAAACGTGCTAGCAATGTCTGATAATCATCCTACACATACATTAAATAATACAATTAAAAAAAAAATTAAAACATTTATATATTAAATTATACTAAATTCAAATATATTAAAAATTTGTCACGTGATTTTCACAAATCAACTTATGAATTGCCACGTGAGTTTCCCGTGGCAATGTATCAGTTGCCACATGAAAATCAGTCACCTGGCAATTTATCAATTGCCACATGATAATCACGCCACAACTTATAGATTGCCACGTGGAAATAACGTCACTATTTTTGTTATTAACTTAAAAAAAAACATAAGTTTAATTACTTACAAAAGCTTTCTGGGTGCGGTCGTCGACAAAACCTCTCGATTTCTTTGTCCGAGTCCTCGTAATCAACTCAATGATTAATGGTGGTCTCCCCATCTCCTTAGTCTAAACAATAAAGTTAATAATAATTAGTAAAAAATATTATGAATAAAAATATATATAACTTAAAAAATTAGTAATATTTACCATCCGCCGGACATGCTCTGCAGTGCTAATACTTCCAACAGTATTGACACATCCCCCCTTTTCGGATGCCCTCATCTTCTTAAAATTTTCGGATTTGACCTTGAATTCTGGCGAACCCCAATATGTATGAAGTTCGCCAAAAACCTCTACGCCTATCCAGTTAGGACGGATACCATGCAGCTCATAATTCTCCCTAACCCGCCGCATTATATCAGAAAATCTTCTAGAAGTTCTGCTATAATAGATTTTTTCCATAATTTTCTCATTCAACGGATCCCACACACATTTTTCCTGCAATGTTGTATGACATTAAAATAAAAAGTTAAGCAATTATCATTAAAATGTGACTTAAATAACAATACTAAAAAAATATATTAAATTTACAACTTAAATAAATAACAATACCTTAAAATTTTTAAACCATTCTTATTTATTTGTAACCTCGCCAAAGTTCTTCCAAGAGGATTTATACATCTGCTGGATTATATAATTAATAACCTTGGCAGCCGTCCGACTCGGCGCGAAACTAAACAACAAGATTTTGAATAAACAATATTAATTATAAATTTATACAAAATATTAAAATGAATATGTACTTAAATAAAAGTTTATATAAGAAACTTACTTGCTTCCTTCGGGCCAAATCCAAAACCTCCCGTCAATGACATGAATCTCACTCGGATCATCTGATCTCTCACGAATATCAGCTCCATCTATATCATCAACTACGACATCTGCATCACCGTCAGCCTGTGTAGGACGTGGGGTGCTGGATCCTGCAGCCTGTGTGGGATGAGGGGTGCGTGACCCTCCGGTCCGTCTAGGACGTGGGGCGCGGGATCCTGCAGCCTGTGTCGGACGTGGACTGCTGGGTCCTCCAATGTGTGTGGAGTGTGGGGTGCTGGACCCTCCCGCCTGCTGGAAGGATGAATACATCTGTGTGGGTCCCCCTGTCTGCTGGAATGATGAAGGCACGCCAGTATGTATAAATGGAAAACTGGGTCCTCCCCCCGTCTGCTGGAATGATGAGGGGACACCAGTCTGCTGGAAAGATGAAGGCACCTGGGTCGGTAGGAAAGGGAAACTAGATCCTCCCGCATGCTGGAAGGAAGATGGCATCTGAGTCTGTGGGAAAGGAACACTAGATCCTCCCTCCTGCTGGAAGGATGACGGCATCTGGGTTGGTGGGAAAGGGAAACTAGATCCTCCCGCATGCTGGAAGGAAGACGGCATCTGAGTCTGTGTGAAAAGGAAACCGGGGCCTCCAGGTGGCACAAAAGATGCAGGTACCCCAGACGGGAATGTATGGGAGGAGAGTAATGGGACAAAACCCTGAGTACTGGCCAGGGACATATGATCAACCTGACTCTGAGGGGGTGGGCACATGGCTGAGTGAGGAGACTCACATGTTACTACCCTCGGACGCTGAGACTTCTTACCGGTATCCTTATTCTTCGGTGGCATTTTACCTAGTTATATATATTTTCATAAACAAAGATAATAAAGTCATTGACATAAATATATATTCATTGACAAATTCAATATATACATGTTCAATAGATATTCATTAATATTACATTAAGTGATTAATTAATCTAAATCTTCATGCTCGTTATCCATATCATGTTCATCATCCGATGTAATATTGTCCTCGGATTCAAACTCTTCATCATTGTCTTCATCCACATTATTATCAACCAACAATATAGACGCATCAACTTGAAGTCCCTCAACAGTTGTATCGGACAAAGTTGTAATGTCTTCAGCTGCAACCACATCATTAATTTGTTCAACGTCATCAACTTGGTAGGCAACATCTTCCACTAGATCTCCAGTTTCAATATGACCTAGCGGTTTTGTTTTTATTACAACACACCATCCTCTTTTACGTATTACAAATGAAGGATAAGGAACATAATAAACTTGCCTAACAATATGTGACATTATGAAAGGGTCATATTCTTTGTATCTCCGGTTCATTTGAATCTCGACAGAACCATATGACTTGTCTATCTTTGTGCCTCTAGTTGGATCATACCATTCACAATAAAACAAGACAACTTTATTTTCCGTGTCCAAGTAATTGTATACCAACTCGTAGATATGTTTAACAAATCCATAGAAGTCGTCTTCACCGCCATCTGTAACTCCTTTTACAAAAACACCACTATTTATGGTTTTTTTCCCTTCGGTCCATGCCTCAGTGTGAAATTTATATCCGTTCACGAAGTATGTGTGCCAATCATTTGCGCTTTGGATAAGGCCTTCTGCCAAGTTTCTCAAATGGAGTATTTCTGGAGTTAGTGCAAGAACGCTAGACAATGTTTGCTTGAACCATGAGGGAAATTGAGCATGAATGACACCTGATGTTGACTGTACCCCGGTACTATGAAAATATGCATTGTTAAATTCCCTACAAAAAACACACAATAAGTTTAATAAGTTTGGTATACACACACCATAAGTTTAAAAAGTTTTGGTAAACTCACTCAAGATATGGTTTAACTTTAACGCAATTGATCAAGACATGGACATGTGCAGATTGCATTTCTTTTTGGGTCAACCAATGCACACCCTTCTTTCCAGAAGGTCGACCTGGAAGCGCAAAGACTGATAAGGTGAATTGACTCCTCTGATTGACATTTACAGGATTCCGTATGATTCTAGGAGTTAACATCAAGTGATTGAAATAGTGACTGCAAAAATGTGATGTTTCCCGATGCAAGTAATGTGCACATATAGATCCTTCTACTCTAGCTTTATTTTTTACCGATCTCTTTGAATCACCCATGAACCTTTCAAACGGATACATCCACCTATATTGAACAGGTCCACCAAGATAAGCTTCATATGCAAGATGCACAGGTAAATGTTCCATGGAGTCAAAGAAACCAGGCGGAAATACTTGTTCCAACTTACAAAGAATGAGTGCAATGTTTTGGTCCAACTTAATGATGTCTTCCACTTTTAAAGCTGACGCACAAATATCTCTAAAAAATTGACTAATTTCAGTTAGTGGGTC